GGGTATTGTATAAAACTTTCTATAGGGTTGATGACAGTGATATGTCACGATAATTGCTACAGTCACTTCTATCACCCTTTCTGTAAATTGATACAGTAATAGACTCCTTCCACTGTTAGGCAATTATTCTGTATTCCAAATAGAATTAAATGAGTTTATGGATTTCAGACTATGAAGTGTCACTTCCTACTTGAATCAATTTTGCCTGGATTTGAGCACTACCTGGCGATTTATACCTTTTCAATTTTGCAATAGCAAATTCAGTGTCAGCTACTGTACAGTACACAACTTCTAATTTATCATTTTATTATACGCTAGTCAAACATGTAATGGTACAAAAACTTATAGTATTATATACACAATGTGATTCATAAAATAAAAATAAATGCTTCAGTCGTTTCAGCAAAAGATTGCAATTAAAAAAAAAAAAGACAAAATTTATGGTTTATGTACAGTTTGTATGGTTTTAGGCCTTGATGAGTGTATTTAATAGGAAGTTGGAAAATACATTTAAAATGCACATATTTAGCAGTGTTTTTGCTTGAAATAATGTGGTTATCATATTTGTAAGAGAACTGAAAATAGTATCATTTACAAATTTGTAAATCTAGAGGCATTAACAAGGCAGACGTGCCACAATTGCTGTGTTATATGCACATTTCCTGACTTGTTTATTTTGTATTGAAATGATAGTGGTTAAGATTATATAATTTTGAAGTTTCAGTTCTTATATGTACATTGAGAAACCTTGTCTAACCTTTATTTCCTTGTACATGCAGAAGTGATTGTGAACAGTTATTTGGTGAATGTGGAAAATTTGAATATCCAGTCAGCCAAACATGTTCTAGCATTTTACAAGGCAAAATTTGCTCAAGAGCTTGAACTCATAGCACCATACAGGGAAATCTTGACACATTTAATAGGAAAGCCAGGGGCGGTGCGTCATTAGGGGTAAAGGGGCTAAGTCCCACCTGATTTTGTTGTAGTATTGAATTTTCATGTTCGTTCACATTTTATTCTGTTTATTGAGATCAAATTTGTATCAAAATATTAATATTTCTCATTATCATGAAGTAATTAAAGAGACACGAAAATGCAATAGTGATGTCTTGGCCATATCACAGCTTATTTGTACGGTTACAATAACGCAGGGGCTAGCTCGTCTCTAGCCCTTACTGTGTGTACCGTTAGCAGCCTTAAGTTCAGTGAACCTTTCAGGGATTCTAAGTATCGCATGAGTCTTGAAATGTCACTCCTGGGGCTAGTTTTGGCAAGCCCACAATAAAAAAGAACACTGTACACAAGGCTGAAAGGGACGGGTGGATTGTGGATGTTGTTGTGAACTTACCTCAATTCTTCCAGCCTTAAGTAACATGTTTGTAAGAATAGACAGAGGGTAGGTTTTCAGACACCATTCAGATTCCATCTTTCAGTTGTGTTTTGAGCAGTGGAGAAGATACAAGTTTGGGAATAAAGTAATTTTAGCGTAGGCCTAAATTAAAGTTGTTTTCCAAGTGTAATTTCCAAATTAGGTTTTAGGTTAATATTGTATTCAAATTAGATTTAGTGATTAATATGAATAGGGTGGACACCCTTCTGAAATCACCATTCTCAACTTTGAGTTTAGAAGAGAAATTACAAGTAAAAACTCTTGGCGCTCATCAACCAACAGATTTCAAACTTGATCAGAACTGCAAGACTCAGAAAAGAACGTTTCCATTATCTTGGTTTCACAAGAAGAAATGGCTGACTGTAAGTGAAGAAAAGAAATCAATTTTTTGTTTTGTGTGTTTATTGTTTGGTGGGGAAACGAGTTGGACTGTGACAGGTATAACTGACCTTAAACATTTGTCAGAAAGAGTTAGAAAACACGAAGCATCGCAAATGCATATTGAAAATGATGTAAAAGTTAATCTCTGTAGAAAGCCAATGGGGGAGGGGAGTTTCAAGTGATCCCCAACTGTGAATGTCTGCGTCCATTTCAGTGGAGTTCAACGTTGTTCTTTATAATGATTCATTGACCTGAAAACATTAATCTCCCTGCTTCCAAATGCATCATCAACAAAACCATTCATCATTCAACTTCTTGAGTGTATTATGAGACCACCTTGTTGTCTGTCTGTGCGACACTCTTATCATTGCTAGGCAATAGCCCATTTATGTGTCTTTGTGTCCCTCTATCCCAGTTTTTCGGTTTTTGTGTACTTCATGTAACATCAAAAGGAAACTAGATGATTAGTTCTTCCAAGAACTTCTTGTTTCATATACAGTAGATAGGGCCATTCATTAGTATGTGTGCATGTGCACATGATAAAATATTGTCACACGTTTGGAATCCAGAAGTGTTACTTCCATGGAAATGCTAGAACATACCATTGGATAAGAAGTAACAAGAGTGGTATTGTAATTCTAACATTGAGCCATTGCATAGAGAATGCCGAATCTCTACAGAGATTAACAACCGAAGACCCATTACGTAACAGCGGACAGTAGAAACGAAACAGTGAGGAATGGTGTCTGGTATCCAGTCCGCAGAACACCTACATAAAGACTCCAAGAAGACAGCAAGAAGTCAGTCTTCAGAAAGCCGCTGCCGAAAGCAGTGTAGTATTGGCTGAGATACAGTGGAAGCAGTAATTGTGATACTGCAAGTGATAATAATTGTAAAGCATGTGAGTGTCCAATAAAGATTCTCTAAATCCGAGACCCACGCAAAGTTATTTATTGCATGACATACCCAACACATGACAATATGTATCTACAGGGGATGGACAAAAATATGGAAACACCTCGTGAAATGTATGCCTGAATTGAAGTGTTTATTTTAGCGATGTTTGTAGGTGACGATGTCGTATCTACCCAATACCACTGCCTGTACAACCCCCGCAATACAATGCAAGCTTCATTTGTTATCAAGACAGTGTTCTGTGCAGGTTTTAGTGCATCATGTCAGAGCTAACAGAATTTGAACACGGGCAAATTGTTGGGGCCTGTATGGTGGGTGCTTCCGTAACCAAGGTAATCGAGGTTTTTGGTGTTTCACGAGGCACAGTATCCAAGATTATGACCGCACACAGGAGGACTGGAAAAACCGCATCCGATAAATACCAACGTGGATGGAAATGTGTGTTGTTGTGCGATCGAGACAGACGAAAATTGCGTAGGATTGTGACGAAAAATAAGAAGACTACATCTGTAAAAGTGACTGGTGAACTGAATGTCACGCTCACAAACCCTGTCAGCACCAAAACAGTATGAAGGGAACTCCATGAGCAGGGTATTTCTGGACGAGCTGCAATTCCAAAGCCACTCATCAGTGACCAAAATGCCACTAAGAGGAGAGTGTGGTGCCGAAGTCATAAAACCTGGACTATAGAGTAATGGAAGATGGTCATTTGGTCAGATGAGTCCACCTTCACACTGTTTCTGACTTCTGGCCGAGTTTACATCTGGAGAACGCCATCCCAAGCTTACAATCTAGATTGTTTGCTGCCAAAAGTGAAACATGGCGGGGGTTCAATCATGGTATGAGCAGCCATATCGTGGTATTCTGTCGGACCCATCATTACCCTGCAAGGCCACTGCACTGCCAATGACCATGTGACCATTTTGGGCGACCAGGTCTATCCAATGGTGCAAACTTTGTTCCCTAATGGTGATGCCATTTACCAAGACGAAAATGCCCATGTTCACACAGCTCACATCATCCAGGACTGGTTTTCTGAACACTAAGATGAAGTGTCACATCTGCCATGGCCCCCACAATCGCAAGATATCAATATTATTGAGCCTTTATGGTCTGTTTTGGAGAGCAATCTGCGTGCGCGCTATCCACCTCCATCATTGTTAACAGAACTTGTCAATGTTTTGCAGGAAGAATGGTACAAGACTCCCTTGCAAATCATACAGGACCTCTGTTTATCCATTCCAAGGAGACTGCAAGCCAGAGGTTGTCCTACTCCATATTAGTCACGGTAATGTGTTTTTTGTTGGGTGTTTCCATATTTTTGTCCATCCCCTGTAGGTAGGCCTGTTAGTGGGAAATTTATATGACTGAATTCACATTACCCTGCAGTGCGTTAAGTTTATCCTTTGCAGATTTATGTAATGCATCCTTCTCAAGGAACCTAACGCTCAAATTGGACGAGGATTTACTGTAGAGGTGGTTGTGTTCAAAGAGTTGCCATCATTGTTAGGAGTGGTTTTCATATGTGGATTGTTTTAGGGGAGCATTTTAGTACCCATTATTAAATTTTTACTCATATATTCCTATTAAAAGGGAAATGTAGCTGCCAATGTAAAGAGTGAATATGATATCTCAAAGGAAGACAGAAAATGTAAATTTATTACCACTACCCATGTAATAACTGGATCACATTCGTGGCAAATGGTGTACTTTAGATAGTGTGAAATGGTTAATATATGTAAACAATAATGTGGCATGAAATGTTTCATGGGTTATGGTTTTTTTTTTATTACTTGGTGGGGTGGGACTGAGTCCACTTGGTACTGTGGCCGCTTCTGGCCTATTGTACCAGCCCCAGATGATAGGTGAGGGTGTTTATGGAGAAATTGGTGGAATGATGATTGGCAAGGGAAACCGAAGTACTTGGAGAAAACCTGCCCCAGCGCCACTTTGTCCACACAAATCCCACTTGACCAGACCCGGGATCAAACCCAGGCTGCCGCGGTAGGAAGCCAGCGACTAACTGCTTGAGCTATGGTGTGGCCCATGGGTTGTGGTTAGTGTGTCTGTATTTTACATAGTACAGTGAAATGAACATTGATAGTCACTAGCAGTTTTATTGGATTTGAGTTTCTTACAGCAGTGACTATGGAGAACTCTATCTCCTAGGATATAAATATCACTAGCAATTTCATTTGCATATGTTGTTAACTGTGCCTGGAGAATTATAGTATAAAAATGTTCTGTATAATGGAACTCGTGAATAGAATTTAATGGTTGTATTTAGTAATCGGTAAGAATTGTTGTTTTGTAGGTTTGTTGTCATCGCTATGGAAGCTATGGATCAACTGTTGGTAGCATGCCATGCACAAACACTGAACCTGTTTGTTGAGAGCTTCCTCAAAATGGTGCAGAAACTTCTGGAATCTACTGATCCACAACTACAAATTCTTGCTACCCAGTCGGTGTGTTAAATTTAAGACTTTAATTTAAACTTTATTTATTGTATTTGGACTTATCTCAGTCAGTTTAAAAACAGGTCAAAGGTAATTGAAAGATCAGTCAAAGATGCTTTGTGCACTAGAAGAAAGAAGTGAAGCCCTATTCACACAACACACTTTCTTAATTCTTTATGTGTAAACTGTAACTATGCAAGAAAAACTGAAAATGAATGATAATATTGTCACGTTTCTAGGGTTCCGTGATAAATACTAATGGGTTCTGAACTGGATGACTGGATTAAATAACACCTTATACAGTCAACACATACTCAAAGAAATACAGCGTTGTCTCAGATTTACACAATTTATGGTTCACCGTTACACACGCACTAGGATTATCAGTCTTTGCTAGTCATATGCTGGTAATGGAACTAAAACATTCCCGCTGTGACTAAATCTTCTAATCACACACTAAGTCTTCACAGGCTGACTTCTAATTCTTCTTCAGCCACTAACTTCCTGTGGCCATTTTGTACCAAGAACTGACTGAAATCCCAATTTCAATTCTCTAATCTCCCTAGCTACAAGCAGACTCTAGTTATATATCTGCAGCATGGACCCCTTGGAAAACATCATCTTTCCCTGTCAAGTATTGTTGTGTTACCCAGCAATGAGTTGCAGCATGTTTCGCAAAGAACATAGCTCCGATTTTTGTGTGTTTATTGGAATGTTTATGCTCAGTTGTTGTCCAGGAATGGTTATATGCATAACATTGCTCCCTCCTTAAGTAAGCTTGTCCCAAGTAGCCTATCTGTGTGGGGGCTGTGGAGGGGTCTAACACCTCCACAATGTCCTGTTCCTGATTTTTCATAACCTGACAGAAGATCCGGCTAATTGTTCATCATGTACTAACTTCATTTGGCCAACTCCTACCTACAACCGACTGCACTCCCAGTTCCAGTTCTGTAATCTAATTCTCTAATGTCCCTAGCTACACACGGACTCTCATTATATAGCCATGGCACAGACCCCATGGAGAGCACCATCTTCCCCTTTCAAGTATTCTTTTCTTACCCAGGAACAAACTGTAGCATGTAGCATATGAATTGGTCATATTTTCTATCACAATGAGAGTCAAGTGCTTCCACAGTGATTTGCAAAAGGTGTCACCAGTTAGTTTAGTGAATGGGACAAGAGAGATGAGAGTAACCAGTTTTAAGGTGGTAGGGGCTTTTCTTCTGGTCTTGGGGTTTCATTTCTTTAGTAGATCACCTGCTCATATTGATGACCATACTTTCTGCACCAGGCTGACTCTGCCATTACATATTTGCCATTGCAGATATCTCCTCAAACATGCACCAGACTCCATTATTTATGATCCATGTGGGAAAGTATCAGTTATGAACTGAAAGTGATTCAGGCACATTGAACATAATTCTTCATTCAAGGAAATCAGTTAGGGTTTCAGTTAACACCAGCAAGAAGAATAAGGAGCATTTTGTGCATTGTATACAAGTCAATCAAATTAAACACAGGTTTTTGAAACACCAGAATAATTGTTATTTGCTAGAAGAGTTCACCCTTCTATTATTACAATTTTTCCACTGTCAGATTTGAAGTAACGACTGTAATGCGTACACATAAGAGCATTCCTATTACGCCCAGCACTGTTCACATTACATCAGAAGTACACAATTAGTGTTACATATATGTTATGGCTATGACTCTAGCATCTTCATATCTCAATTTCAGTAATGTTAATAATTTTGAATAAAAGACACATTTGTTTTCAGTTCGTTATTTTGTCAAACTTAATGTAACTATCTTTTTCGGTGGTTCATAAAAGTAATAATGCAATTTGTCTAGTCTCTGGTGGGTTAATACTGAGTTTCTCTCTCTCCCAAGTTTGTGTATTGGTCACTTGTGTGTCTAACTGTAAAATGGTATGTGGTATTGACCAAAGTTTGAATCACATTCATTTCTCCTGGATGTCTAATTGTCCCAACATTTTGCCTTGGGCAGTTAACCATCCATGTTCAAGGGAAGATCTGAATCTCATTTGCTAGTTCAGAAGAAGACCAGGATATAGTATAGCTATGAATTACTGTACCTAAAATGATTCACTCAGAGACAATGTGTGGCATTGGCATAGCCTGACACATCCTGGAAGGAGTGGGTCAGAAGCAATACTTGCACATGTCTGTAAGAGGCTGGAATTAGACATGTTGCTGACACCTTGGTGCCTGTCAAGTAATATATAACAAATAAGGCATATTTGAAATATCACTGATGTTGCCTCAAATTTGTATTAACTGAATGTCCCTAGGATGACAGTAGTTTGTATATTCATTTTATCATTCTATAGTGTGTATAGACAGCAAAGGAACTAAATAATAATGGTATTCAGAAAAATGGTTGAAGCAGCCACTCAGAGTGACTCAGAATAGCTTTTTTGTTTTTGTTTTGTTGTAGTTTGTGAGATTTGCCAACATTGAAGAAGATACTCCATCCTATCACCGACGTTATGATTTCTTTGTGTCCAAGTTTTCTTCCATGTGCCACAGTAATGATAATGAACCTGAGCTTAGAGACAAAATCAGGCTTGCAGGCATTAAAGGTTTACAGGTTAGTAGTTCATACTTTTATATGATGCACATTTGTAAAACTAGTGTTCTGAATAGATGCAACTTAAAATTCGTGATCATTGGACCTCTTTGATAATTACACTGCTCATCTGCACGTATGAGCATTGCATTCTGCATCTTATGTCTCATTGGTCAGTTTATCAAAAAGCCATAGCCTTTTATAGTTACAATAAAGCTTTAAATTTTCACAACAATTGGATTTTTACAGTACCTTGTATGTAGTCATAATTCATACCTCTATGTAATTTATGCAACCCTACCTTTCAACAAGAAATTTGGGGAAAAATTAAGTACATCTGTGTACCCTTAGTAAAATAATGACCAATGCATAATTTTCATGAAAAAATTATGTACCGGTTGAAATATTACCAAGGAACATTTTCATCTTAATGTCAATTAACAATTTACATGGTGGAGTTCATAGACAAAGAATCCATACTGTGTTGCCACATCACACTCACCTTTCATCACATTTTCTATGAAAATTACGAAACAGTCAAAATGTTGTCAAGACACATTTTCATGTCAGTGTTTTTCAAGAAGTAATGTGGTTGAGACCACAGTCATATTGTATTGCCACATCACATCGGCAGTGACTGTCTTAATGTGACATGTAAAACTGTGTTCTGAAAAACAGTAGTCACATGTCTTGTACGTTCATAACTTGTAGACAGAGCTTCTGTTTGTAACAAAATTATGTGAGTGTATGTTGTACATATATTTCATTATTTTATTACTCATAAATGGAACTTATTATTTTCAAGATCTTTTGTCCCATCCATCTGATCAACAAGTCCCACCAGTAGGATGTATATCTCTGTGCATTCCTCTGGTTGAGAAACAGTGGTTTAATGGATTGTCATGGAAACTAATATTGCTTATGATGTTTTATGTGAGATGGATGCCAAGGTTAGGCTCAAAAATGTTAACCTTTGAATAGATTCTATTGAACTTTGATTTAATAAAATTGAAAACAGTGTTTGTAATTGTGTTTTCCAATGAAGGCTGAGACCTGAATGTAGAGTCAAAGTTAATTTTTAAATACCTTAGTCAGTATGCACAAAAATTGAAAATTCCTTCAGACTTTTTTCTTACTGCTCAGTTAGGTATAAAGTTTATGTTATGTACAAAACATTAAGATTTTCTGAAGTAAGGTATTTGTTAACAGGTTCCCTCAGAATCTTCTTAATAGTGTTCCTTGCAGATTGTCCTACTCTGACATTAAAATAAATTCACTGTCTTAGGGTGTGGTCAGGAAGACTGTATGTGATGATCTGGTTGAAAACATCTGGGAAGCAGTTCATATGGACAAGATTGTACCATCACTTCTTTATAATATGCAGAATTCAAGGTGAGGATTTATTTTTCATGTAATGTAGAAGTACTGTGATCACAGTATATGTTTTTATGGACTTCAGCATCTTTGGATTCTTAGATGTAGCCAACATAATAAACCTTGAACGCCCATGTTCGAAGAAATATTGTGCATATGTATTGTACTGGGTAGACCTGTTACTAGGTAACAGTTGCAAACAACCATGTCTCCACAGCAACAAATCAACATGCAAGTGTGGAAGTACTGTTGGTAACTGTGTTTTCCACAGTTGTCCATGCTGAGGAGTTAAAAGTGGGACAAAGGGAACACACATTACAGGACATGGTTTACACAGAATATAAGAAAAACGACCCCCATAGTGGAAGAACCACACGCAAGTTTTAATTAAGACAAATAAGATGAATAATCTTAACAAGTTTCAGTGTGTGTAAATTTATTATAGTTGACAAATACGCACTTTTTAAATAATTTTATAAAGGCAAGCAATGCAGTAGATTAGCATAATTAGGGCACCTGATGATGGCACTATGTAACAGGTGAAATTGAGTACACTACAAGACGGCCACTGTATACATATCATGGATGAAAATCAGTGCAACAGGACACTAAAATACAACAGATAGAACAGAAGTCAGAATGCCTTATGGCCAAGGTAAATGCCATGCAGGAAAACATGGTCTCTCACCATAAGGAGATAATAACAGAAATGGGAGCCTGGTGAAAAGGGATGCAGGCTGACGGAGAGGCATCAGGGGTCTACTCAGAAGAGATGGAAGCAAATCCTGAAGAAATAAAGACTCCAAGGCATAGCATGGTAAGGTCTTTAAGGAAGAGGCTACAGTGCAAACTGTCAGATCACTGAAGAAGTGGTATGGAGACCAGCATCTAGCTCTAGGGTGCCTCTGGCTACCTGAAGAAATGGTCCCAAGGCAATGGTGGGTCCTTGGAGAAGTTGGGCACCACACTGTGCTATTCCAGCATGCTCATCAGGGACCAGACAAGGACAGTACCGTACAGGGAACCTAGAAAGGATGGACATTCATGAAGAGACATTGGGAAAAACTGGAATGCAACAACAGCATAAGGAACAAAGCCCTAAGCAACACCTACGAAGAAAGGTGACATTTTGTGAGGCCTTCGGCAAAATATCAGGCATGAGATCATGAAGTGAAGTATCGGATTTTCTGTCAGGATTTGAAAAACGAATTTCAAAACATTGTGGAGGAAGCCAGAGATGTAGGAGCACCTGCACCAACTGGAAAAGATGACATAAGAGTGAGCCTATAGGCGCTTTGGGATGAATAGCCTTAAGGAGGGAGCAGTGTAGGAGGTAGACCTGTTACTAAAGATATAAAATAACACACTTCTTGTAGGTTAGGCCTACTGTACACTTACGAAAATACAAACAACTTATGTAAGATATAAATAACACTTGTGAAAATACAAATCGACTTCCTTAAGATATAAAATAACACACTCCTTGTAGGTTAGGCCTACTGTATACTTACGAAAATACAAATCAGCTTTCTTAAGACAAAGTAACACACTACTTGTAGGTTAGGCCTACCAGTACACTTATGAAAATACAAATCACNAAATAGAGCTCTCTTTTATGTTGACATGAGGTCTTTATGCCCCTCGTCATCCAAGGGTTATATTTCATATTATTCATAACTAATTTTTTAGGGAAGCTAAAATTAAATATTTTAAAATAAGTATTAAGAAATGAATTGAAAATTGAATCAATATTCTGATCAACAAATACGTTATCCCAAGTTTCATAACTTAATTGAGTCAAGAACTCATTTCTAGAAGCTTTACTGAATTTCCTCACAAAATGCCTACAGCTATTTCGGTTATGTAAAACGATGTTATTCATATATAAGATTTGGGCATCATGGTCAGACAGTCCATTAACATGAGGACATATAGTATAATTTCCATGTCTGTGAAGATCAATAAAAATATTATCAATAGCAGAGGCTGAGTTGATTTGGATCCTAGTAGGAAAATCTACTATACTAGAAAGGTTAAAAGAAGATAATAGAACATCCAATTGTTTCTTGTTATTACTATCAGTTAGGTAATTTATATTGATATCACCACATATTATCAGTTCCAACTTAGTATCATGCAAGAAATTTAAAATGGCGTCTAATCCCTTCAGAAAATAAGCAAAATTACCGGATGGTGCTCTGTAAATAGATAGAACACAAATATTACCATGCAGAAAAGGAAGTTTCACCGCACAAACTTCAAGGTCTTTATCTTTACAAAAGGCACTTAAATTAACATTTAAAAATTTTAGTTTTTCCTGTACAAATATGCATGATCCACCTAATTTAAAATTTTTCGTACAATAAGCAGCACTGAATTTATAATGTTCTATATAAGTACAGCCCAGATCATTATAATTTAAGTGGTGTTCAGTTAGACGAAACACATGCGGCAGCTCAGGATGTAGGGAGCTAATTAATTCATTGGTTTTACCTCGTAAGCCCCTGATATTTTGATGATATATATTAAGAGAATTATCACCAGAAGAATGAAATGTGTATCTCTTACTGTCATAGCTCAGGGAACTTAATTTCAAATGATTATCGTCAAAATTAGCACTACAAGTATTGTTAAAATTACCTAAACCATTACTCCTAAGATCACTAACTGACCCAGGAGACTGAGTCACCATAAAAAATCCCTATTTCTTGTTACAGGTGTTCGTCTTATTCTATTAGATGATCTATTAGCTACAGAATTAATTGAATTTAAAACAGAACCCTGAGAAGAATGGTCCAAATTTAAAATTGCTTGACTTGAGACTTCCACACAGCTTCCCATTTCATCACAAGAAGAACGATCCAAGTTTAAAATTGCTTGACTAGAGATTTCCACACAATTTTCCATTTCATCACAAGACGAATGGTCTAAATTTAAAATCGTTTGACTAGAGACTTCCACGTGATTTTCCATTTCATCAGAAGAAGAATGGTCCGGGTTTAAAACTGTTTGACTAGAGACTTCCACACAACTTTCCATTTCATCAGAAGAAGAATGGTCCAAGTTTAAAATTGTTTGACTAGGACTTCCACACAATTTTCCATTTCATTAGCAGAAGAATGATCCAAGTTTAAAACTATTTGACTAGAGACTTCCACACAACTTTCCATTTCATCAGGAGAAG